TCTCTCTGTCTCTCTGCTCTCTCTGGTCTCTCTCTCTCTGTCCTCTGTCTCTGGTCCTCTGGTCTCTCTCTGGTCTCTCTCTGGTCCTCTCCTCTGGTCCTCTCTCTGGTCTCTCTCTGGTCTCTCTCTCTGTCTCTCTGTCTCTCTGTCTCTCTCTCTCTGGTCTCTCTCTGGTCTCTCTCTGGCCTCTCTCTCTCTGGTCCTCTCTCTGGTCTCTCTCTGTCTCTCTGTCTCTCTCTCTGGTCTCTCCTCTGGTCCTCTCTGGTCTCTCTCTGGTCTCTCTCCTCTGTCTCTCTGGTCTCTCTCTGGTCTCTCTCCTCTGGTCTCTCTCTGGTCTCTGCTCCTCTGGTCTCTCTGGTCTCTCTGTCTCTCTCTCTGGTCTCTCTCTGTCTCTCTCTCTGGTCTCCTCTGTCTCCTCTGGTCCTCTCCTCTGGTCTCTCTCTGGTCTCTCTCTGTCTCTCTCTGGTCTCTCTGCTCTCTGTCTCTCTGCTCTCTCTCTCTGGTCTCTCTCTGGTCTCTCTCTGGTCTCTCTCTGTCTCTCTCTGGTCTCTCTCTGGTCCTCTCTCTGGTCTCTCTCTGGTCTCTCTGTCTCTCTCTCTGTCTCTCTCTGGTCTCTCTCTGGTCTCTCTCTGGTCTCTCTGTCTCTCTCTGGTCTCTCTCTGTCCTCTCTCTGGTCTCTCTCTGGTCTCTCTCTGTCTCTCTCTGGTCTCTCTGTCTCTGTCTCTGGTCTCTCTCTGTCTCTCTGGTCTCTCTCTGGTCTCTCTCTGGTCTCTCTCTCGGTCTCTCTCTGGTCCTCTCTCTGGTCTCTCTCTCTGGTCTCTCTCTGTCTCTCCTCTGGTCTCTCTGCTCTCTCTCTGGTCTCTCTCTGGTCTCTCTCTCTGTCTCTCTCTCTGTCTCTCTCTGTCTCCTCTGTCTCTCTGTCTCTCTCTGGTCTCTCTCTGTCTCTCTCTGTCTCTGCTCTGGTCTCTCTGTCCTCTCTCTCTCTGGTCCTCTCTCTGTCTCTCTCTGTCTCTCGTCTCTGGTCTCTCTCTGTCTCTCTCTGGTCCTCTCTCTGGTCTCTCTCCTCTGTCTCTCTCTCTGTCTCCTCTGTCTCTCTGTCTCTCTGTCTCTGTCTCTCTCTCTGGTCCTCTGTCTCTCTCTGTCTCTCTCTGGTCTCTCTCGTCTCTCTCTGGTCTCTCTGTCCTCTGTCTCTCTGGTCTCTCTCTGTCTCTCTGCTCTCTCTCTGGTCTCTCTGCCTCTGTCTCTCCTCTGTCTCTCTCTCTGTCCTCTGTCTCTCTCTCTGGTCCTCTCTCTGTCTCTCTCTCTCTCTCTGCTCTCTGTCTCTCTCCTCTGGTCTCTCTGGTCTCTCTCTCTCTGTCTCTCTCTGTCTCCTCTGGTCCTCTCTGTCTCTCTCTGCTCTCTCTCTGGTCTCTCTCTGTCTCTCTCGTCTCTCTCTCTGGCCTCTGCTCTCTGTCTCTCTCCTCTGGTCTCTCTGCTCTCTGGTCTCTCTCTGTCTCTCTCTGTCTCTCTGTCTCTGTCCTCTCTCTCTGGTCTCTCCTCTGTCCTCTGTCTCTCGTCTCTCTGGTCTCTCTCCTCTGTCTCTCTCTGGTCTCTCTCTCTGTCCTCTCTGCTCTCTCTCTGGTCTCTCTCTCTCTGTCCTCTCTGCCTCTGTCTCTCTGCTCTCTCTCTGTCTCTCTCTGGTCTCTCTCTGGTCTCTCTGTCTCTCTCCTCTGTCTCTCTGTCCTCTCTGGTCTCTCCTCTGTCTCTCTCTGGTCCTCTCTGTCTCTCTGTCTCTCTCTCTGCCTCTCTCTCTCTGTCTCTCTCTC